GTCAGCAACGTGGTCATTGTGCAAAGCCTGTCGTCAATGGGTTGCCGTGACCTCTTCCACACATCAATGGACAATTCTGCCGGCATGCAACGGCGACCGTCGATGTGCCCCGGGGGAAGTGCGGCATTGATATACAACCAATGTGTGATATTAGCAAAACATATGCGAACCACTTCATGGTTCTTGGTCAAATTTGTACCAAAATTGTCTTCAATCTGAATGATGATGTTGACACACATGATTTGCTTACCAAGCATGTTTTGAAAATAAACAGAATGACAGTTCAACTATTACTCTTAACATCTGAGCTGACACCTTACGAAGTGAAACATTTGATTTTATCTTACTTTGGCCAGTGAATGTTCATTTTGTCCGCCGTCGCTATGAATTGCGGCGTGTGTCGCCTTTCAATGATGTGTCGGTCGGATGAGCGTCACCCGAGCGTCTGACTGACAACACCCACATGTAGAAGAGGGCTGGGTTGAATTTGAAACAAATCGGAATTGACGTGAAGTAAAATAACATTTTAAAAATCGGATATATTACATCGGGAGGGGGCGGGGGGGTAAATAGATCGGAATTGTGAACGTCTTCTGTCTGCGTGGAAATATTATACTGCCACCAGGTGGCCACGTCATGCACACCAGAAGGACCCGCAAACGAAATCTGGACGTGTAATTCTTTACATTCTTTCGAATTATGTGACAACTATACATTGCTTAAAAACTGAAACGTTAACGATTTCCTACACTGTTGTCTTAAGAGAGGCATTGGAATGGGGAATGAATGTTTTGAGTTGCGAGCAAGGTCACGGAATGGAGCTATTGACAGACTATGATGTGGCTTGAAACCGATTGGATTGCAGTCGCCTTGAAAAAAAATCACGGGCATTGTATTATTTTATGTTAAATGCTCTGTCAAGCGCTTTGTTACATCGGCAGCTGTTGTTAAAGCGCAATGCGAATAAAGATGTATCAGTTTCAGATTTGGACTCTCTGCAACACGCGTCCACCCATCACATACGCGGTTATAGGAGGCAAAGACAAGAAGATCCTTCATCTCCTCCCCTTCGTCATCCTCCATTAGTGGTCGGCCATTTTCTCGGCCTACATCTTAATCCCACCCTCCCCACCCCCCCCTCGATGGTCCCCTTCGTGGTGGCTTATTGAGGCTCGCAACACCGACAGAGAGAAGAAGCAGAACGGAGACAATGACAGGAGGTTGCCTCACCACCCCCCACTGCCGCCGCCGCCACCCCCCTCCCCTCACTATCCGCCCACCCTGCCTTCCTGCAACCACCAACCCCCTTCGCGCTTCCTCCCGGCGAGCTCGCCCAAGAACAAAGAGCCAAGGAGCGGACGCCGGGCACTGGAATGCGAGCAGAAGGCGAATAAAGAGAGAAAATGGCAGCTCACCCCATCGCTGTTGCCTCCATCAGCTCCTCCGCCGTGTCTGACACAAGCATCAGCTGGGCCCAGCGTCGGCCAATCGGGAGCCACGCTTGCCGGGGAGGAGGGAGGGGCTTTACCCCTAGCCCACCCCGCCCGTTGCTTCTCCCGGCACACTTTGCCTGAGATGCAGCCAGCACACTGACGGGGTTACCACGTTCTGTGCGTGTGGATGTCATGGTCAAGTGACAAGTCAGTTTTCGTAAAAATGGATTACAGGGGACCTCGGGTATTGGCGGGGGGCTTAGGTACCAGGCTGGCCCGTAAACGGCAAAAGTCTGCGGATAACTGACGCCCATTACAACTGCATTGGGGGGGGGGGGTTGATTTTATCAATGCATGGGAAGAATTGTGACGATGTAACAA